GGGGTGGGGGGGCCGAGGTAGAGCCGAAGCGTCCTGTGGGCGGTGCTGTTTCTCGGCATCCTGCAACCCCATGACAGTTTGTGTTTTATAAAGACGGCTGTATCTAACTGTTTAAAAATAACAGATTTGTAAATGAATTGAGAAAAGGTGCCACATAGCTTAATAAATAAATTGGCTCGAAAGGCTGAGAACATGAATTCACTTTTTACCAGAACGTTAACTTAGCACGGTCAAGACCGCTTCAAAATATGTCTAAGAAAACACAGGGTGATGTGAGGCCAGCGGGGCATCTGGTCTGAGTCTTCCCTTTCCCTCACCCCCACCCCAGGAAGCCCTTGGAAGCCCTTCTCTGGAACAGGTCCTGCCATTACTGCCCCTCGGTTGGCGCCCCCCACCTGCCCACCTGTCTCATACCCGCCCAGTCCTCCTCAGCCAAGCTGTGTCCCTTACAGTGTATCCTCTGAGGGCTTTTCAATGGTCGGTCAGATCAGGTCACTCTGCTTAAAGCGCTCGGCCCCCCTTCCCGTGGCCCCAAGGCCCCACGCATGACCTGAGCCCCGCAGTCTCGGGCTCACCCTGTGGCCAGTTCGCCCACGTGCAGAGCTGGCCTCGAAGGGTCTGCCCAAGCTGCCCTCTCGAAGGGGTCCTGCCGGTCCCCCTGGCCTCTGTTCACCTCTCGCAACTCTCCTTTCTGTGCATCTGCCTGTCCGCCAGCTTGTGTAGAGTCTGTCTCTCTCGCTGGAACGGAAGCCTCCTTGTGCAGCTCTGTGAACCCACCCCTGGGGCACGATCTGGCACAAATATTCACCGAGTAAAAAATGTTTGGCCAATTTCTCTCGAATAACTTGCCTAGAGTTAAAGTATTTAAGTCAACAAAAGCATTGCCAAACAAGAAAGTCAGGCAGAATGGGCTAACAGTTAACTAGAGATAAAAATACTGAAAGGTCTGGGGTGGAGGAGAGGCAGTGACGCAGATTAAATGTTGCAAGATTGCCCCACGTACACATGCAGAAAATTACTCCAGAATGGCAAAAATCCTGTAAGAAGGTGAAGTACTTTTCAATCACTATGCATTTGTTCAGTTCACATCCAGCCTTAAAGGTAACTGTTGGCACGCTTTGTAACCGACTGGTGTCTGTCAGGGTCCAAGTTAACTCTCTTTTCACAAATAGGCCCTTTGTCTGAGAAGGGAGCGCTGGCATCCCCCTCCCTTGTCCCAGGCTTGTCTGCACAGGAGCGCGCAGCGCGGGGCTTGATTTAAGTCATTCTTCAGAGGAATGGTGTCTGAGAATAGGCTATTAAAATAGCATTTTATTCTAATAGAGATCTCAACAGTTAAAATGACAAATACACACAAGCCTCCAAATTTACCTGAAGAATGTGCATCTAATGGAGAAACCCTCAGTTCCCGGGAGCCAAAGGAGACGCTGTTCAAAGAAAAGGCAGATTTTTTCCCACCTGTTGAAAAGCTAGACTTGAGTGGACTCAGAAAGTCCAGTGACTCTCCAGAAGACTGGCCGAGTGAGGAGGAAATACGGCGCTTCTGGAAGCTGAGGCAGGAGATTGTGGAGAACGAGAAGGCCCAGGTCCTTGCAAACCGACTGTTACCAGTCGAGCTGCCGCCCAACCTCCAGGCCGCTCTGAAAACACAGAGGAAAGAACAACTAAAACCCACATACACTTTAAGGTAAAATTTAAAAACAAAAGGTACTTTTCTTGATCTTTGCAAGATTGTCATATTATTTTGTAATTTTGTAAAACATTGGGTAGGTGTCTGCGCTGCCGTCACTTATTATGGGGTTAATACCAGCCTTGTGTTCAGTAGGAAAGTTACATAGGCCCACGGTGCCTGGGGGAACAAGCCCAAAGGAGGAACCGTGCGAGAGACTGTGTGTGTGTCTGTGTCTGTGTGTGTGTGTGTGTCTGTGTGTGTCTGTGCGTGTGTATGTGTCTGTGCGTGTGTCTGTGTGTGTGTATGTGTCTGTGTGTGTGTATGTGTCTGTGCGTGTGTCTGTGTGTGTGTATGTCTGTGTGTGTGTATGTGTCTGTGCGTGTGTATGTGTCTCTGTGTGTCTGTGTGTGTGTTTTTGTGTGTCTCTGTGTCTTTGTGTGTGTGTGTCTCAGTCTGTGTGTATGTGTCTGTGTGTGTGTATGTGTCTCTGTGTGTGTCTGTGTGTGTTTGTGTCTCTGTGTGTCTGTGTGTTTGTGTGTGTGTGTCACTGTGTGTGTCTGTGTGTGTGTGTCTGTGTCTGTGTGTGTATGTGTCTCTGTGTGTCTGTGTGTGTGTGTCTGTGTGTGTGTCTCTCTGTGTATGTGCCTGTGTGTGTCTGTGTGTGTGTATCTGTGTGTGTGTGTCTCTGTGTATGTGCCTGTGTGTGTCTGTGTGTGTGTGTGTCTGTGTGTGTGTCTGTGTGTCTGTGTGTGTGTATGTGTCTCTCTGTGTGTGTGTCTCTGTGTGGGTCTCTGTGTGTGTGTGTGTATGTGTCTCTGGGTGTGTGTGTCTGTGTGTGTGTGTATGTCTCTGTGTGTGTGTCTCTCTGTGTGTCTGTGTGTGTATGTGTCTCTGTGTGTCTGTGTGTGTGTGTGTATGTGTCTCTGGGTGTGTGTGTCTGTGTGTGTGTGTGTATGTCTCTGTGTCTGT